TTAAAAGGATCGGCCAAAAACATTTTGCTCATATGTGTTTTCATTTATCCTTATTTGGTAGAAAAATGTGTTATTTAGCTCTTTATCATCAACAGTAGAATAAAAGCCATTCAACAACTCTGGGCTAAAGCAACACTGAAGCGTGCACTGTGAGCTGAAGCACTGCACTAGGAACATCAGGATGCAGAGAGAGCACTTTTGTCTTTTTACCTTTGGACAGATGATGCTCTCCACACTGCTCTCGAGGTTGCATTCGAAGACATGAGCCTTGGTCAGCTTTTTGTCCCAATGGGCCGCTAGCCAGATCTTGGCCAGCGGCCCACGTTTGCTGAGCACAAAGTGGGCGTAAAACATCGCCCTGGTTCACCTGGAAGAGAATATTGATTAGTTTATGCACAGAGAAAAGGGATTCTAGAAAGGCCAAACTTCAAAAACAATATTATTCCTTAGACGCATTTGAGAAACAATGTCGTTTTAACATAACTTTAGCTAATTATCACAGTTCATGAGTAGAGAACATGATTTCTTAATAGAATATATGCTTGGTTATTATGAACAGTTTGAACATTTCACTGACATCAAGCTTTTCAGAAAATCGTGCTCAATAATGTTGGGGGAAGTTAAAAGCAAGCCTGAAGAAGAAAACAGCTGGAACTGCACTTATCAGAATAAGCAGGCTATCAAACATCCAACTAATCTTTAAAGAAAAGTGGCATAAGAATGCATATTGGCATAAGAAAGAAATCCAAATAAATAAAGACCGCCAAAACACATTTAGAGATTGAGCAATATGTATTGATACTCAGGGTTATTTTCCCTCTTCAGCAAAGAGGAGAAAAGTTAAGCCCAAACCCCCTTCAACGTTGAATGATTTTGGCAAACGTAATGTTAGACATAGATGGTTCTTAATTAATTATAACCGGCAACTCATTTAAAAAGAATTTGGGCCTACTATATTCCAAATGAATTTATTTCATTACAACATTTGCTAATCTTATCTCGCCTCATGGGATAACGAGCACTAACATCGATAAAATTCCTTCGAAGCACTCGTTGTGTCTCTTGCTGCTTAATTTGACGAAATGTTAACTTAAACAGTTTGTCACATTACTCATTGAATGTAAAAAAATCTAAAGCACGGAATGAGATTTTGAAAATGAGATTTTAAACAAAACAAGCGCCGACTTCACTCAAGTTCCGCCTATTTCCCTACCAGAGAATCAAACATTAGAAATGCACATGTCTGCCTACGGTAACCTACACTTTTCCTGTTTCCAGATGATTAAAAGAACTCTGCGTGGTTTGTGTGCAATAAATGCGATGTGATGAGTTTAGGGCGCCAAGGGGTTGGTCAGCGCCAGTAAATAGTCGGCGCCATCAAGTGGGATGAACTAAATTAGCCGCCAGCTAACTCCAAAATGAGCAATGAAGCCGATTCATACAGATTAAGGTTAATTGAAATAGAGTTATAGATTTAAAAAACGGTGGACAAACCATAATTTGCCAATGAAACAACAGTAAAGAAACCGGAACGAGGCGTCTATCACAACCTAATCGTACTTTTTCCTCCTCTAGTAGCACAACTGTATCGTTAGCTGGTGGCTAACGGCTCCCTGTACAGTGAAGGCCGCAATAAATCCACACAAACGTGCATGCTTATTTCACCTCGTAAAACACACAAAACAACCCGAAAATATTTCAGCTGCAAGCACACTTACCGGGAGCACCCCCTTTACGATGAAATCCCAATGATTATGTTATTTCTCCCAGCGAATTCTCCCCTGTTGTACTCATTAAAACAGCCAAGATGGCGCCAGTCGCCTTCCTCCCGCTCACCGCTGTCCTTTTAAAATCGGCAGGATGTTTACAGTCAAAAATGGCGGAGGAGGAGTCTGTTGCTGAGGCCGACGCTAACAGACGGCGCACAGTGAGCAGAAAGCGGAGACAGGGGGCGCTGTGTCACAATGCTTACCAGAGAGCCTGCTGGCCAATACATTGACAAAATATGGTTATCGAAATACAGTGCATCGTGTTTTACATAGTAGACTCATTCCATGCATATCCTATTATCAGATTAGTACTAAATTGTTGTTGTTTCATAATATTCCTAACTTTGTTAAGGGGTTCACTTCTCACTGTTACCCATTGTCCAATAAAGTGTAGGTCATAGTAAGTATTACCTCTGTATGAATCTACTCATGGCTGCTGAAGGCAGATAGACACTTAACCTACTTTTATACAGATTATGGTTCTACCCAGGCTCATTACGACTCACTATCAACAGAGTGGCCCCAACCAAATCGGCATCTTTTAGGTAATGCACATTTTTCCCAGTAGGCCTGATTGTTTTATTCAGGAGTCTCAGTTGCAGGGCTCTGTTTCTGTACGCTCTGGTAGGCCAGCAGAGCCATAATCAACGTTATCTTGATACACATGAACCAAATATCCTGCTATAAAAAAATCACATTTCTGCTGTCAGAAAGTAAGTAGCCTAATGATTAATTCAATTAATTAGGGAGGCGTGTGGCGTAGTTCAAACCCCCCTGCAGTCAGCATGTCGTTGTGTCCCTGGGCAAGACACTTCACCCCAAATTGCTCCTGTGGGGATTGTCCACAGTATTGAGTATGTAAGTCGCTTTGGATAAATGCGTCTAACAAGTAACATGTAATGTAATTAAGGTTATTTGGGCAAATTCATCACGAGAACTTTAATAAGGTGACACATTGTGTACATAAGGATGAAAGACTGAAATGAACAACGCCTGCTTAACATATGCAGTCCTTTGAGTTGAATACCAACTAGGGAACTAGCTATCCATGCAGACTACAAAAAACAATGTCCAATATTAGATGGAGAGATGAGGAGCATGCCTGGCAGAGAGGCCAACTCATCTACAATCAAATTGCAAAATTGGTATGCAGTAAAGCGGATTTGTCTCATAGGCTACAGCATCTGCTGCTGTAGAACGGCTGCCAGTTGAGCATGTTTATGATTTACAAGCAGCAGGGCTCCACATCATTAGATTACAGTTACATTTGGTTGTTATTATCAGCATAGATTGAGAATTGATTTAGCGAATCAGTTCAAGTCACATGCCCTGCAAACCAATGTGTAGCTGGATATCTGCAGTGACATCACAAATTGAAAACAAGGTAAAGTCACATAATGCATCATTATCCCAGGACAATAACATTGGCGGTAAGCATTCATTACTTTTAGAGGAAGTAATGCAATGTGTGCAAATATGCTCAGAATCAATCAGAAACCCCGCTGCACAAACTCACAGGCTCATTGGGAGATTAATTTAATATTGATCTAGGCCAAACTACTACACCATTCCCAAATTGAAAGCAGACAGATGCAGGAGAGAGAAAAATGAATTGAAAAAAGGTATAATATAAAACCTGATGGAGGGAGCTTTTAATGTATTAGCAATATGATCATTTTAAATCAAAATCTATAGTGTCTTTTGAATCATGCAAATACATTAATGTAGGACACGTTTTAACACAAAGATGCACATGTCTGGACGGTGACACACTTTTGGTCTGCCATCTGCTAGACAGGATCATTTTATCCAGATAGCTGAATGCTGGTTGTTGTCGTCATGTGGCGGAGACCTCTAAACAGCCTCAGAGAAAGCAACCACTTCTATACTTTCTTGCTTTTAGACGAGCTACTGTGTTGACGTACAATGTGTGAGTCACAAAGGCTGAACATCTGATTATCTATACATACCAGAATGTGCACAGCTGTATGAAATGCTGTGCTTTGTATTTGCCGAAGTAGTCTTGTATGGATGCACAAACTGTACTCAGGAGAGATGTGGGCTGAAAAGAACGACTGATTTGTATCTAGGCAACTGCTGAGTTGAGATTTAGATTGCTTTATTCAAAATGAATTGTTTCTGGCTAATGGTGCCATAATGTGCCTAATCTTAATTTATTTAATTATATCTCCACAGGGATCCCCTTCTACTTATCTGTAACTGCTTTTTGATTAGGCACTGTATGACATGCTGTAGTACTGTCACTGGAACAATCTTCAATTTGTTTTCACCTTCTAGCTCATTAAATATATAATATAGTGGTATGTTTGATTAGATACATTAAGTGATGGGTTTCCTTCTATCTTTTTGTCCTGAGTGTATTTGAAACGTGCTCCATTAATATGTGATTTAAAGCTATTAGAAAAGGAAGGACATTTCTCAAACTTGGCTGGAGTCACAGTATTACATCTTCCAGTGGGGTACTGACTGCATGCATGCGGAGCTCCATCTCCTCTGCAGATACACATCTCCTCAGTAGGATCGTGAGACTTTAAACTGATTAGCGTTCTGTTAACTCACACAAGCAGACCTTTGGCAGTGGATTGACCTCCCCAGCACAGCATTTTTACTTCATGGTTTACCAAAAATCACTTATTTCCTTCCTCTCTGTGCAACAAAGCATCTGCACATCTGGATCTCTGAGATGTATTCCTGATTTTCTTCCACAGACCATTCAGAATTGTCCAAATGTTTTCCTGCCCAGTTTTATATACTGCACAGCTTTTTCCTACAAGAGTTATGCCCAGTTTTTCTGTCCATGTGTGTGTGTGTGGTTTGGGGCTAGCAATCTCTCGTGTAGCTGTTGCTGCAGCTGAGTTGGCAGCGCTCATGCACCATGGGATCATCCTGGATAGATGCTGTTATTTATGCAGCGTGTCTAAACCGATCATCCTAACACAGATTTATGTAAACACAGCAGTTTCTTGGCATAGGAAGGGGTTCACACACGCACAAGGAGGTTAAAGGTATTATTTCGTTTGGCTCTCCCTCAGAGGGCGCAGTACATAAACCCAACATGGGAAATGTGTTTAGGATCCCTGAAACTGTGTTACTAGCAGGTCAGAGAGGGATGACAACTAGGTCAGGGTCGAATTTCAAGTGTAATGTAATATTTTAAATTATATTCAAAGTCAAACACACATGGTCACTCGTCAGACAAAAACAAATACATTTTTTAATCAAACATTTTATTTGAGTTTTTATTTTATAAAATTATTTTACAAAATGGTGAATTGTCCCCTATCTTTCCAGTTTAATCTCTATAAAATTAGGTCTGCATTTACGGAAGAGAGGGAAGGAAGCAGGCAGAGATTCAGTGGGGATGACATCCTGCCTCACAAATACTGTGTAAGAGAGAATTATGCATGTGGTACATGTACAAGTTCCTACAGGAATGTCAGCATCAGATGTAGTGATAAGTCTTGGTAGCATTCCAGTGTTAAACAATATCATTTAGGGAGCCTTTATGTGTTACTGGATATTGATAAAGAAAAAAAGACAATGAAATGAAAACTAGGACCTGTTTTTCGCACAAGCCAGATGAGAAAAAAAAAGTGTATTTCTTCTGAAGGCACATCAATATATAACTGAAACAGAACCTTAGGAAGGAGAGAAAGATAGAGAAAATATTATCTTAAATATTGCACCAAGTTCATTTCTGAAATGTGATTCTCTTTACGACCATATTCAGTTGTCTTGATAGCACTGTGTTTAGTAATGCCGGGATTGTTTATCTGCTGTGAAGCTGATGTCACATTCTAAGACGTGTAAAAATACCATGCAGCACAAATCTCTCACACCTACACCCTTCCTTTCCCCTCTGTCTCACACATTTTACTTTCTAATGTAGACAAGGAATACTTTGAATGAACCAAACAAAAATGGGAATGCATGGCATCTCTAGTATGAATATCCTTGTAAGATGAAAATGTGTTAACATTTTTTTATTTATGATCTATTGGCACATATTATGGTGAAGTTTACCTCACAAAATGAAAGCTACCACAGGAGGCGTCGGGGCAGGTATGGTTAGATTGTTCTCGAGAAATGTTGCTGGCTTTAGAGCGATACTTCATGGACAGATCTGTGATTTAAAAATACATGGGCACATTTTAAATCCATCAAATTGTGTAACTAGTTTGGATAAGCTGATATGACGTATCAAGGCGGAATCAAAATGAAGAACAATTTGTTTTTAAGTTAATTGAATGAATTAGCCCTGTGAAGTTCCACTGCTATTCAATTGACCAATTTGCAGTTAATTAGTCTCAGATCAAGATATATGACAACGACAGAATTATTAATATATACTTGGAACATCCTGGTTTCACACTTTGCCTCTTGAATGTGTTAAAGCACAATACCAATCAGAATCCAACTGAGATGAATTGGTGTTTACGTTTGTGATTATCAAGGACACAATTCTGCATTCTGCTAATACTGTGTAGATTGAAAGGCTTCTTATTTCATGTATTTATGTTAAAGAAATACCACAAATTAAAAAATGGTATGCATAACTCAACATGTCCTATGCTTTTTTAAATGTTCCACAAATGCTTGTTCAGATTTCTTGTCAGTCTGGTCATATTGTTCAAATTGAGTAGTCTTTTTGTTCTGATGCCAGCTCTGACTGAAGCATTGTTTGATGCTTCTAGATGAAAGCAGAGTTAGCTCACGTCACTTGTCAGCCTGGGCCACTGGACTAAATGAAATTGGGTTTATGGCATATAAACAATCACTGTGTATAAATATCCCTCGCTATCTAAGCCCATAGATTCATTGCCTTGTTGTTATTGTTTTTTATTTAAAACAGACGATTGGTTGGCTGAATTTAGCAAGCTCATCCTCTTTTAACCAAGACAACTCTTGTGATCTATTATTCTCCAGGCCAGCACATACTCATGTACTAATTCAAGCTTTTCATATAAGCCTTTCAAAATTGAAGAAGAGACATGAGGAAGAATTCTTGCTAAAAATTAATATACAGAACTCAATTCAATTTCTGCATTTCTATTTCCGTCATGTGGATATCAATTCCCACATAGCATATTCAGTGAGTCTAGCTAGTTGTGTGATGCTGAAAATGTTCAGAATGGCACATGATTTTGTACGTCAACTAAATACAAATTAAATGTCTTTTTACTTCAGAAATATGAATGCTGTACTTGACTGCGAGATCCATTATTCCATCAATTTAAAAGCAAATCACGAAAAACTAAATGGAAAGCAGCAAGACCAAGGTGCTCATTCTGCGCCGTGTCTTTTTCTCCCAGATCCCAACGCCGTTAGATAAACTTTAGGCACTGTGAATATCAGATCATAACTCAGGTCTGTGTGAGTGGGCTGTCTATCCTCTCTTCACCCACCCTGCTATCGGTTTCAATTAAGACAATACAGAGAGTATTGCTGGCCATTCATTCACTGTATAAAAAAAATAGCTAAACACAATCCAAAATAGAGTAATCATCTTCATAGTTATAATTATCAATCATATTCTCTCGGAAGAAACGTTCGGGGACCTGTGCAGAGTGTACAGAGGAGTTGGGGGGGGGGGGGGGGGGGGGGGGGTATCCACTGCTTCAACAAGGAAGCAGCAACCTATGATTTCCAACCCCGTGACTTTGGCCAAGTCGAGCCTTTTTAAAAAGTCCTCCGGTGTCCTTCAGTGGGACATGTGTGCTCAGCTATCCCCCAATACACACGAGGAAGGGTAGAAAAGGGCACCACCGAGGAGACCATTATGTCTTCCAGTTCCAGTTTCCTCCTCTCAGTCCCATTTGCGTCTCCGTTGATGCAGCCATGCGATCATGGAAAGGCTTCTCGACGTGTCCGCCCCCCTCGCCCCCGCCTTTTTAGTGTCCGGGGGGCGGGGGCTTTGGAGGGTTATAGCCTCTCGATGTCACTGTACTTCTTCCGCAGTATGGACACCTGATCTTTGAACAGGACCGGGTCCAGCCTCATCTGGGAATGGACCAGGGGCATGCTGCCAAACCAGCTGGCAAACTTGTTCATGCAGGTCTGACGCTGGGCGAAATGGTCCGGGTCGGCCCAGCGAGACGCCCGGGAGCTCTAGGGGGGGGGGGGAGAGTGAGAGGAAAATGAATAATGCATCACAATTTATTCTGACCTTCCGGAACCTATTGTAATTATTCCCAAATGTTTCTTTAAGGCCATATTGCAAAAGAAACTCATTTGAATACAAATGTACAAATGATCAATGATCTGTCTAACAATCAACACTTTAGGGTTTAAGTGGTGCAATGTCAAAAGCCATTAGCCTTTGCAGTACTGAGGAAAAGCAAGGGTCTCTGAGAAAAACGTTTCTGGATATTGCTAAAAAAAAGTGTGGAGTTTTCTCCTAAGAGAATATAATTCCTGCATTTTTTCCAAGTATAGGTGTTATATTACCAATGTATTTTCTATCTGTTAGCAGTTTCCAGATCAATTCAACAGTGTACTTCCAGTCATTTTCCCCCAAGTGCCTGTTCTACCTTCAGTCTTACTATGAAAGGGTTACATTTTTCCAAGATAAATATTCTGCCTCACCTGTCCCATCATGGTCTCCTTGTATTGTTTCTTCTGGGTGACCTTGATGGGTGGTAGCTTAGACACAGAGGACACCAAAAAATTCATCAGAATGTCCTCGCAGTTTGACATCTGGTCAACCATGTTCCTCAGACTGGCTGGAAGGTAGGTGGTGTACAGATAGTGGTAGTATCTAAGGGAGAACATAGGAGAGTGGCATTAAGTTAGTACTGAACTAAATGTAACTGATAGACTATAATACAATACAGAAGCAGAGGAGGTGTGTCAGTACTTGTGATAGATGGCAGCCCCGGTCAGCACCATGGAGTAGTCGTTGGTCCATTTGGAGGTGTAGCCCCACCGCTCCTTGTTGCCGTCCCAGAAGTGGCTGCGGGCCGGGTAGCCGACGATACGGTCCGGGAAACTCTGCCACACCGTGAAGGCAAAGTCCACCTGGAGCCAGACAGAAGAGGGAGGGAAGACATGAGGCCAGGAAACTACATCCATAGTACTATAGTATACTATAGAGTGGTGCAGGAATGAGTGCTAAACACAGGAATGAGTTGGCATTTTACCATTTCTGGGTTCCTCGTCCCTCAAGTAAATGTTTTTTTGATTGAGTTTCTGTTAGAGGCCTGAAATATTCTCACGTTTTGTTCTACAACATATTCTATGTCAGCAAATACCCCACTAGTGAACAAGTGGCTTAATGAGACGACTAAACGTCATCAAGCAAAACACAGCCTGCCTTTATCTTAGCTGTGTTGACATGAAGTCTTGTGACTGTGAGGACGTTTGTTTATAGCCTAACATTAGCTCTTAACTTTTGTAAATTGTATTTGCGCTTCCCTTAATTAAAAAGTGATGTTAATATGTGGAGATTATCCTGCTGAACAAAACATGTAAGGATCATATACTTGTTTGCATCAGATCTTATTTCCTTCAATAAGGAAAAACTCCATTGCTTTTTGTGGAGGGAGCCCTTGAGATGCCAAATTGGGGGGCAGTCTACAAAAACACATGATCCCCGCACACCTTCATTGGTCAAAATGACGTCTGCAGCATGTGATTTTGATTTGAAATGATTGAAAATGTAAATGTCCTGGTGATCTGACCTCTGTGGTGGAGAGCACCGTGTCCTCATCCAGACTGAGCACAGCATCAGTGGGTATGGTGTCGTAGGGCAGAAAACGGCTGCTTATCACCTGGTATGAAACGTAAAAACACAGAAAAACAATGTAAGTGGTTGCCTAAAGATAATAAAGAGCTTTACCGTGCAGCTCAACAACAACAGTCATGTTATAAACAGGGCCTGACATGCAGCTCTACCTGTCTCTTAATGTCTGTTTGTGCTATAGAGCTGTTTCATCTTGCTGTGTTAACAGCAGATTCAAAAATACATGCTGACAAAAGACCAATGACAGCAGAAATACAGCATTTTCACAGACACAAATCTCGTCCAGCAGCTCCTGCTTTCTGACATGTGTCTAGAGAGGAATAACTCTAACAACTGCTTACAAAGTTCTTTCCAATTAATGAAATATGTGCACATTGATGATATGTTTCAAAATATATTGAAAGGTTTTTATCCCCGACAGCAACATCCTTGTTAGCCATATCACTATTCAACCTGTCAAGCCTCTATACACAGCCTGTCAGTCACAGTCCATACATATGAAATATCCTGATCCTGTTTTTTTTTTAATTAGCTGTCTCAAGTTTTAAAATATCATGCACTGTATGAGAATGTTGATTTTAGAACTGCTGAAAATGCACATATTCTTGTCTATTGTTTTTCAGTTCTACATTGTCTAGCTTATTATGTTTGAGACCTCATTGGCAAATGGTCCTTTAATATGCAAGTCCGTCAATCTAAAGTAGTATTAGCTGACGGACACATTTGTTTGCCACCTTTCTCCGTATTAAGGCACGAAGGGTGTGGGTTTAAATAAAGAAATCACATCAACTATTTCCAAATGCAAGCCAAGAAATCTAATTGGTATGAATAGTAATTAAAAAGCTATATTGTACTCTAACGGAAATTGGTTGGACATGACATAGATTGATGCCCTTATTCCAATTCTAAAAAGGAAAAGTCCTGTTTTTTTCAGAATTTAAGCAGCAGGGTACATCACACAGTTTCACATTGTAACACTTGGTAAAACTTTTAGGAGCCTGCAGTTATCTTGAATTAAAACGAAACTGAAAGCTTCTAGTGCTGAATGTGAAATGGCTGCCTAATGAGAGAAGTCTAGGTTTTTTACCTTGCTTTCGCCTTCTATAACGATGACAGGGATTGAGGTGACAGGCCAGCGGTGCTTGGCAGGAAGAGGCTTGTCACAGTTCCACAAAACAATCACCTGCACCAAGGGGAAATACAAGTTAGCCATCATCCAGAACACAACATCTGCACACCCATGTAAGAACACCTAATTAGAAATATGTTCAAAGAGCCTATAAATGAGAACTATAAATGTTTGATAATACATGTCTGGCTTTATGTACAGAACAATGTGTGTATTAAAAAGCTCTATTTCTATTAACTCCCTTTTTATGTGGAAGACCAGCGTTTGCTTATTCTACTGCAGATCTATTTTCAGAACTGTCACACTAGCTACAGTTATAAGACAGTGACAAACTGTATTACTGTAGATGTAAAAATGTGACACTTTTATGCTAGCTTTGCAGTTTTCAATTAAAAAAAAACCTGAATCCATATTTTTGATGAGTTTAGAAAATGCCAGTTACGTACAGAATATACTGTACACATGAAAACCATTGCTCCACAACATTAAAGAGACCTAGCAGTTCAAATGATTACAACCATGTGTGTAAATTCACTGATAATTTAAAGTTGTGTTCTATATAGATTTGATGTTTAACAGCTGTGCATAATCATGGTTTTTGAAAGCTTTTTTGGCTCAATTATAGTCTCTTCTCACATCTAATGCTGCACAATTTATCATGTTACATATTAACATGGACTGGTGCAATATCCAAATCACTGTAAGCACAATATTTAGAAAAAGAGGCAAAATATCATGTTTTAAGTATTGTGGGGCTGCAGTCAAGTCCTGGCCTACAAATGGTCTTCTACGTACACAAAATGCATTGTTTGGTAGAGATTCTCTTAACAAAATTAAACCATGATCTTTTCAATATATTTTTGGATTGATAATGTGACCAAGGTTTCAAAAATCATAATTCCCTCTGACATTGAGTCATATAACAAATTCAATTTTACTCAAAATAATCCAGATTCCAGTTATTTTTTCCCAAACTGTGGAGCCCTACTCAAATCCTATAGATTTGGCCAATGTAATCCCAACTGGGGGGGGATGAGTAATGTATTGTTTTGTGTTGGGTTTAGCTTACCTGAGCACAGTACTGGGATTTGGCCACAGACAGGAGCAGCTTCATCACTGGCTGGGACTGGGAGACCAGTGGACTCACCACGTGAACGATCGCTGTAAACTTGGTGTATGGTTTAACACCTGAAAACAGCCAGGAAACACCAAAAGCAAGAAAATAAATAATTCTTACTGGCATCAGAATAATTGTGTAAATTGCTAACTTAGTAGTATCACTTGGAACTGCACTAAGCTTAAAGTGCCCCTATCATGCCATTTTTAGGCAATAGTATAGGTCTCAGATATATAAAAATATATAAAAAACATGTCTATGAAGTGTTTTGCTCAAAATACCAAACAGATCACCCATTCTAGCCATGCCTCACATCCCTCTATTTAACTTCCTGATTCAAAAGTGCTAATTTTGGGTATAAAGCTTTACAAAAAATAAAATTGATACAAAATAAAAAAGGAGGGGGCTGAGCTCATGAGGGACCCGGCAGAGCTGTCTAAGCTAAATACTGCCGTGATGAAACGCCATATCAAGGATTATTTCTGAAACAGTATGGAGCTCAAAGGCTTTCTCTCTTGCCGGTTATACCACAAGGTGAGTTCTTTTTTATTTCCTGCTTCTTCACACACATGCTCTCCAGTACAGGTTAGCTCTGAGTGTTAGCGATGCTAATGTAAACACCGACCATATTACGTCCAAAACAGTCGGGCATTGTTTCTGATAGCAGCGTTTCTGATAGGGCCGTGGGTGTAAAGCCAGCCTACATTTCCGATATTACGTCATATCGGACGCAAATCTGGATGAGCTCCGTTGTAGCCCCGTTTTTAGAGATTTGGGTACGGAGGAAAAGAGAGAGGGTTTTATTTTCTGACGCTGCGTGAGTTCCCTGACACACCGGGGACACATATATATGTATAAAAGACATCAAAAAATGCATGATGGGTCCCCTTTAACTATGGTTTTATTTTCTATGAGTAAGCTGCTGTAGCTTTATAATATCAACACTTCTAAACCCTAAGTGCACAAACAAGTTTTGTGTTATCTCTTTGACAGCTTTGAGGGTCTCAAGTTTATGCGTGTTTACTTCAATCTGTGTTTAATTGGCACACAGTGCAGCTGAACAGGTCTAATTAGGCTTGTAAAGGAAAAGGTGCCAGTTAACCAAATCCCAACGTCAGCACCAAGCACCATATCTGGCCAATTAACCAAGCACAAATACAACATGGCAGGTCTAATTGGTGAGCCTCTCTGACAAATCTTGAATAAATAAAGATATACTGCTTCACTTGTGGCAATGTCACTGATTCGCATGTTATTTTTTACGAGTACCCAACAGCTGCCACGCACCAGCTGTTCCTGTGTTTTGCCGTAAATTAAAATCAGTCTATCAAAGCTCAGGGAGCCTGAGTGATGATTGTTTTCTGCATAGACGGCTAATTAACTGACCCAGCTTGGCGTAGTAGAAGGGGAAGTCTCCCAGGTACGTGGAGTACTGAGGAAGGGTGAAAAGTCCTCCAGGCAAACTGTTCCACATGAGGTTACTCCTTGATGTGTGCAGCATTACCCGGTCCTGGATGATCTGGATTGAAAGGAAGGGTGAAATGGATCCAAATTTAAGTTTTGTACATTAAGAAGGATTGCTATTGGTAAATATCAATCAAATCAAAATTATTCTTGTTGTTGTGTGAGAAATTGGATATCACAGTCATTTGTACAACAACTGTAACAGAAGTAAGACATCAACATTAAATTAACTATGTTTAAAGGTCTCCCATGTGTATTCGTTTTAAATCAAACCTTAATAATGTCAGTCTTATGTTGTTTGGAATCTGAGGTCTGACACATATCCTGTGGTAAACTAACAACAAAAACAAGTCAGTTCAAATCAACCAAAATCCCGCAAACTGAAAATGACTTGTTTTCATTATGCTGTCATGTCTTTTAAAAGACAAAATATAAATTAAAGAATATAATTACACAGTAACATCAATTCAGTATTTAAAGTAGTTTGGCATAAGCTGTTCCATAATCTTATAACAGAATTTGCAAGTTGATGTGTTTGTTTGGCCCGTATCACATGCAATGTGTCTGCAGGCTTTACAGGCCCACAGCATTTTCCCACTCCACTTACAAAGAGAGAGAAGATACCTTAATACAAATATTAAGCATTCTGAGGATCTATTGGTAAGATACAGAGGAAAGTGCACCCTGTAGGATAGTGTGATGATAAACAGAGTATTAATGTTCACCTTGTTTACAGTCAAATATCTAGAAATCCCCACTAATTGGTTAAACCTGAAGCCAAAACACTGCCATGTTACCAGCCTCGTACTATGGCATGTGTTGGAACGAGGTTAAGATACTGAGTGTAAACAGATCGAAGATCAGCTTCTTGGGGGTGAAACTGTACCCTGCTGACAGAGAAATATCCAGCCCTGCCTTGGAGTGGCCTGACTTCTTCCTCCTGGGACGAGGCCCTGTAACACTATCTGAGGACAGCAGCTACTGGTGTAAACTGCAGGCAGGCAGCAGTGCTTTTCCTTTTTGTTCAAATAATGATTCAAAAATACTTTCAATAAAATAATCTTAAGATAGAAGGCAAATTCTGAAACATGCATATTTTCTTCATTCTGTTCGACTACCAGTTATAATTGAGAAGTCAACTGCTGATAGTGGCTATGGTGAATTTGAAGTATGACTACAGTGAAAAATCCTGCCTTACACAATCGGTTTCTCTGCTTTGCTCCCTTATCCTTTTTCTCTCCTCCGTGCTCTCATCTTTGCTTGTTTGTAATTCTAGCCCAAGAGCTGTAAGATAGCCTGCTACTGACTAGAAAGAATAAAGATAAATGGAGTCTGACAGGAACAAAACTACTGACATGATTGATAGCAAAGGCTGCAGCAAGAAACAGCCTTGAAAACATGACAGCAGTGTTTAACTATATACATCATCCCCCTTGGTTTTCAATCAGTTTGGGTATTACTGTTTGTCTGCAACTACACAGTCTGTGATTGTAAGATGTCAGTACAAAGTCAGTCAGCGGGATAAACAGGGTTGAAAACATTGCAATTCAAGCTGAAAAAAAGCAGTATTACATTTGTAATGTCTGGATTCAAAAACAACAGGTAAAAAAAAAGTGCAAAATACTGACACACAAATGAGTATCATTATAAACAAGCAGGCACGTCGTGGGTATTAGCCTCTTTTCAGTCGGTTTATAATAAGAAAAGAATGTACAGCAATTCATATTAAATTCTATTTAAATTAGTTGTATATATATATAAATAAACATGGGTCGGTACCTCCAGTGTGGTCAGTACTATTTTCTCCACAGAGTTGAAATACGCCTCCCATAAGAACTGGGTCTGGTGTCTAAGGGACAAGATCTTATCCTGGTGGATGGAGCGCACTGTAGAGGGGATCTGGGAATATAAGAAATCAATGTTAGCATATCTAAATCAGAGAAGAAGTCTAGCCTTGTTGAATTACAATGATTCTTGTCATTTCCCCCACAAAATGCATTGACTGCAGAACAAGTACCAGATCTGCCTCAATGACTGCCTCCGCCGTCAGGTACAATACATCTGTCTCACAGCTTACAGTAGTTTAAGGAGGCAGCTGTCTGTATGAATAACCTTTTGTATTCACTAACATTGTTATCCTCAAGAAAAAAAGGATGCGTTGTGAATGATTCAGTAGAGCAGCACAAATATTCTTCTTTCTGTTGGTTAGTTCTAGCAGTGTGGACTAAATCCTCAAAGTTTCAACTGTAGTAGCAGCTGAACCTACCTGTAATAGCAGCCTTTCATCCCCAATCACAGCTGCCGTATTCCAGTCGATGATTTCTGAGAACGGCAGCTCCCAGCCGTTACTTAACATAACTGGCACGCATGCTGCCTGTAAGAGTAACAACACGCAAACAATAGACTGTTTATTCATTGTCACATCATGAATGGTAAACATACATCAACAAGAAATGATTAATGAATAAATAAATGTATTAAATCAAGGGTGTAGAGACGTTGCATAATGTAAGTAGGGTACTCTAATATGTAATGTCACCATTGTTGGTCCCATCGGAGGCTTTGATTGGTTCTCCTGCTGGGGAAGACACCATTCTTAGGAGCCACAGAAGACTAAAAGGACTCCCCAAACCAAAGGTTGAGATGGGGGCTTTAGATGGCTCTAACCAGGTTGCCATTCATTTATGCATTTTGATTGCCCCATTGTACCCAGTCATTTTATATCCCACTGTATCGATTCATTTAATAGGCGGGTTGTATCCAGTAATTTCAATGTGAGGTCTATTTAGTTATTTGATTGATGATTTTCCCTTTGTATCGAGTCATTTGATTGGCCCTTTAAGTCAAGTCATTTGACTGACAAGGCTAATTGAGTAACTTGATTGGCCAGTGATATCGAGCCATTTGTTGGCACGTCAAGTAATGCACTCTGCAGAGCACACACAATGAAATGTAAACTCTGCATTTAACTTATCCTAGTGTTAAAGCGAGATCAATGCACGCTTTGAGGTGCTGATGAATGACAGGACGATTGATACCATGGAGGTGAATAATGCTAGAAAACAGCTCTTGTTCCATGTGACGTTACTCTTCAAATATTTATATTCAACGGAACAACCTGACAATGCTTGTGGTATAGTTTGTATTTCTAAGGCAATATTATAAAGACAGACTGGATAGAGAGGATCAAACTGAACAAAATATTAGCAATTGGCTTATGCTGCGCAAACCCATGTCATCAGTGTGCAGGGTCCATTTCACAAGCAATAAAACCGGCAATTGAACAAATAGAGGAAACATATCTTCCAACACATTGATGACTAACTCTCAAAGCGACTAGGCAGTGCAGCTTCATAAAAACAATCATTATGTTCAGTGCAAAGGAAGAACAAAATATACTAGAGATTAAGCGCTTTGAGCAGCAGGAAAAGCGCTATATAAATCAAATGTATTATTATTATTATTATTAATAATCCCTAAGCTAGTGTGTGAGAGATTTATGAAATTGCTTTGTGTATATCCATGTTTGTGAATGTTCATGTGAAATGAATCAACCATTTTCCGTGCGTGTGTGCAAACGCATGTGCATGTTTGTGCTGGAAGTTAAAGTCTGTGATTGTTGAGAGTTGAAAAGTACAGCATCCAGACGGCAGTGACCGGCCCTGTAATCTGTTAAGAGGGGTACCATTCCCCGATTGGCCTCGGTCACTACACATGCTCACGCACGTCCAAGCTCAAATGCTCTTGCATCAGCGTGCTGCGGCAGTGCTCGTCTAATCTCCTCGGTGTCATTAGCAAAGGCAGCAATCTGCTCAAATGTGCCATGCTTTCCCTACCTATCTGCTCTCACTAATGAACTAGACTCCTGCAGCTCAATCCTCCCCCCAACTCATCACATTACACACAAACATTCATTAATAAAACTCACTGCCATGAACTTCCTAAATGTTGCAAACACATGCATAACAGAGTTCATCAATGTGACTCTGTGCCTCTCATGGCACCTGCATTGCACAACCTCCTCCTGCCAGATTGCACTCTTCATTATCTGCCAAATCAGTTCCCCTCTTCTGGCCTCTTTGAATACTCAGATGAGCCAAGGTAACTAATACAGCAGCGTCTGCCTGTTTTCCTTAGCTCCTGCATAAGGCTGTGAATAAACCGATACCTCCAGGTAGGGCTGCTCGATTATGGCAAAAATCATAATCTCGATTATTTGGGTCAATAATTGTAATTGCGATAATTAAATGCGATTATTCATTGACTTTGAAAACATCCGTTTATTTGAGATTTTTTTTTGAAGAGTATGTTTTTAACAGTTGATTACCCTGAACTTTAAGTATAATTCAACTGAAAAAAAAATAAATGCGTTTTATTTAGATGACGTTGTTTTCGTAATTGACTTAAAAGGGCCAAAATCGTAATCGCGATTAAAATACGATTAATTGAGCAGCCCTACCTCCAGGCCATGAGGCAGCTCTACTCTCCAGACAACCTTTGCATGATTCTTCCCCTGCTGTTGGACTTCCACTTTCTGTCCACCTGGTCTTCAGTCTGCTCTCTGACATCGCCTAACTCCTGGTTCCCGAGTGGTGCAATTATCCGCCCTTTCCAGTCAATAAAGAGTTGCTGCCCAAATTCTATAGTGAGCTCAGAAGTCATCATTCTATTCTACTTTCTCAAAAAACAATCCTTTCTTACCTAACAGTTTTTCCCAGGAGTAGTGCTTACATTAGCTGACAAAAAAATAACCCACAAGGAGGAAAATAGCACCAAGAATGTGGCTGCTTTTCATTAATTATGAGAAAAATATTGACTTATTTACCACTGTGTCATGTTACTTTAACTCACTGGAGAAGCAAAAACAGCTCAAATGTTGAATCTAATTGAACACATTGACTTCCCTGCTACGCTATGTATTTACCAAAAACAAAGCAAATGGTAATTAAATAAGCACTATTCTCACAAGAAGGAACTATAGCAAAGAACAACTGAATACAAATGAAACTTTTGTACTGAATGAGCCCTCTCTAAGTATAGCTGAGTCCCAAAAGAAGCTTGGACATCTCTTAAGTGAGTAGGCAGAGTGTGAGAATGAGGCAGTAAGTGGGAATTGCCATAGGGAATTCAAGACACTTGGGGAAGTCTGTACCAAAATAAGAAGAGGAATATAAGTGCAAAGTTAGAGAAAGAGTAGGATGACTTCAAGAGTTGGGTGAAGACGCTCAAATAAAGGGAAAGTGAAATATGTCAGGGTTAGCAGTGAAGACACTGAGTCAGAGGCAGCTGTATCAACACTGGCAGCACATTAGCAACATGTCTAAATGTGGGTAAGAGAGCGAAAGCATCACTTTTTCCATTCTCCCTGGTTAATGGCTCCATTGTTTAGTCACCGCAGATTCAGGACTGACGCCATAGAAGATTTCTATAAACCTGTTAGACTTGTGTTTGGTAATTATGTTCAGCGGCCAACCCAATTTTCAAAATGTACCTTATTGATATGAACTCCTAAGAACACAAGGATCTAAGTGGGGTCCGCCTTTGAGTTGGTTTTTAATCTGGTCAAACTTAAACAATTCTAATTACAATTTAGTAGCACTTGCAGTGTTCAAAGAAACATCTGTTCTCTGTGATATTTACTGCTGCAGTATGCGTGCATGTGTTCTGAATCACAGTGATGCATCTACCATAAGTGATGGTGGTTTATTTACAGCTAAAGCCTAGCTATAATGAGCAACATCTGCATGTGTCACTGACCTGCAAAGCCTCTAAGAAGCGAAAAGAACCCAGCCGCCTTCCTCGAGGAACCAGACAGAACGTGGAGTTGTACAGCATCTCTCTGTAGTCATACCTGTAGGGCGATACAAAGGGAAACACATCAGCAACTAAGAATGTGTACTCATAAAGTATACAAGAGAAGGTCACAAAGTAAGTCCCAGAACTGAACATTATACAGTGCTTTAGTTTATGTTTTTTAACTCTAAAGCTAACAGCTAAACTGATATGAAAACATAGCAGTCTGAATGTAGGATCACAGACAATACCAAGGCTAAGCTTCCTGAAACAGTCTCAATGCAGCAGATGGGGAAAGAACAGAGAAGGCAGATCAATGAAATACCTAGAAAGCACAAGATTTCAAAAATTCAAAACTTTGATCTCGACTCCTCTCTCTTACGTTCTCCACACCCATCCTTAATTCCCCTGCCCTCTCACATGCACATCTCAACATCTCTCTCCCATCCAATCTAAGCCTCAGTCAGCACTTGCTGGGATTAAGGAGCTGCTTGGAATTCCTTCAGTGTCAATATTATACCTCTGCACGTGAGAGTGAGTTTTATGTGTTGACTCAATGTCGTTTCATTTTCATGGGACTCTAAGTGTGCACATTTTATTCCTCAGGGTATTACAGATTAACAAGCATGCGTGCAAATGTGTACTTGCATTTAAAACAACATGCGACCACACTGCATAGGAAAGCAAATACGGATGTAAATGTGAGTGAAGAATGGAGTGAGCATAGAGAGCGCGCGCCTGGGGCTACTTTCCTATACTTTTCTATATTGTATTGATTTATAATGCCTTTGGCTGTGTCTCTAAGTGCACTGTTGCTAGTCTGGCGCTACACAGAGATATAGCTGTAGCCCCCCTTAAGACTTTATGTTTGATTTGAATGAAGAGAGAGTTCCTTAAAATTGTTACCACATTTATTTGGTGTCATTGTTTTGAAAATAAGAGCCAGGCAACATTTTCTAAATCAAACATTGACACACTGCATTTCTTTCACTTGCATTTCGTTGACTTAGAGGTGTAAGCATCAAAGTATGTACAATGTAAGCAGTAGGATGTGGTTTAAACCAATCAGAAGCCATTGTGGGCCAAATAAAACACTGGGCCCTTATCCTCCCAGTATGCAGATTGTTCTGGCTTCCAGCTTAATGGACTATTTCCTGACTGATGTTTTTGAGGGAAAACTGAGTTCAACAGACTCGGCTGACCTTTGAGAGGCTACACAAACTGTTTACTTGTGGAGGTCATGGTTGTGTGACATTTGAAGGACCCCCTGGTGTACAAGCATGGCATAAAGTGCATAAGATGCAATTCTGTCAGCCACTGCAATACCCGTTACGCACAAATCTCTTGTTGTTCTACAGTACACTGGGGTCACAAATAAGTGCAAGGTAAAATATCAACTGCAATGTTGAATCATCTCTGCTGATTATGCAATATCTATCTGGATAATCCCCCTTTAGAGTACACACCATTTACAATTAACAGCCACTACAGTGAGTTTAGAGAACATTAATAGCCATAAAAAACATAAAAGCTACAGTTAAGCTTGATGCTTGATTTATAGTAATGCACTGTAATGTACGCAGAAATCCATTATGCATAAAGCCCATGTTAGCAAAGCAGAGAACACTGCAGGCTGTACATCCATTAGGACAACAATCTGATTCAAACGTCTGACTCCATCACCGATATGACAGGCTATCATTAAGCATGACAGAGGCACATATTAACTGACCTTTTTTCAGGCCTATAAAAACAAAAGTATAGGTCCATAGCAGGGCCTGGCTGCGTGTACATCTCCTATCCATCCATATCCTGTCAGTGCAATCAGTGCAAAAGACCAGATGTTCCTCTCCCTGCATACCTTCATTCTTCCCTACTCTTCCAGATGGCTGCCTGTGGGGAGGAGCAGTCTCACAGTATGCCACCGCATGTCAGCGGAGATGTTAAGGATGAGTGTTCAAAACATATCTTCTACATAAACCCTTTTCCTTTTCTGTCAGATTTTAAGCACTATATGCGTTCAACAGATTGATTTGATTGGAGAAAAAAAGTCAGGATAGATGTCATGTCAGTGAGTCATACCTTGCATCTTGCAGCAATTAACTCTACATGATATGACGTAAATCCTGCCTAGTCCCATATTATTGGGTTAACTGACATAATAAACTAATACCAGAGGATTTGTTTAAATAAGTGTTACCTTTCAGATAAGACACTGATATCATGAGAATAGACAAACCAAACTACAAAAACAATGGATTCTACTGTAGAGCTTCAGCCTGAGAGACTGACAGACCCACTGAGGATTTAACCTCGACCAACTGTTCCATCAGACTGACCACACTGCACTGTTGACATTTCCTGACCGTGCAGTTGCTTTTGGTCAGAAAACCACCATCTTTTAGAAATGCCAGTTATTTTATATGACTACGTTATGTGAACACTGAAAGATGTGTATAGCAGCAAAAAAATACCTTTAGAGTCTATTGTGTTCTTTAGGGGGGAAGCAGCTTGTAAGTGCATTTCTAGGGGTTTTAAGAGTCCTTCTCTTGTTGATTAGAAACCCTGAATAGGTTTAATAAAGGAAAGACATGACACAGGATGCATTCCAGAGATTAGATCATGCTACTGCTCACAGACTAGTCCTGAACATCTCTATAGAAGCAGGGGAAACTCTGATTTACTCTCTACCAATCAGGGGACTACATAGAGTTTCATAGCACTATCAGTGGTAACATATTAAATGAGACACATTATGTACATTTGATGTCTATTAGCACAGTCCATCAGAGAGCTAGGCACTCATAGAACTCCAGTTACTTTTTGGCATATCGATACAATGGCTTCGCTAACTTTCATATTTTAAGAGATGGTCAATATAGACATGGAGGTATAGAGATAGATCAATAATGAAAAAGTATTTTCTGGTACATGCCTCAATCTTTTAGTTGGGAGAACGAGAAAGGACCAGACGGCAACACAGTGACCCATCACCTTTTGGTGTATTGCTCTGGGAGATCTTCTGTTTTAATGTAAGGTCATGTATTAATACTCCAAGAAAGAAACACAGCATGAGTCACAGAAAGAGAAAAGGATAACAGGAAGCTAGACGGGTCAAAGAATAAAAAAGATCAACCAGTCTCCTAGCAACAAGAAATGGATGGTATAAAAAAGAAATGCATGGCTCACTCTGTCAAGTGCCCAAGGAGATTCAGAAGAACAGCCAACGCGTTTGTCTCTCATAATCCATGCAGACCACACACATTTACAACACAACTCATAGAAAGGACCGAATTCAAGGAGGCTCTGCTTCATCTGTTACACGACAAGTCACAGTGCTCATGTAGACTCCCCCAAACTGTGTTCTGTGATGGACAACATGCCCATCTTTCCTCTCTTAATTCATCCAACTATTACTTTTTCCACCACTTCATTCTATATCGCACATTTAATTTTCATGAATTCTTGAGGTGCATTTCATAGCTGTTCCATAGCATTTTCTCAATTGATAAGCCCAGTTAAGTGCTCGGAATAAAATATGTTTGTATTTTTGCTGCTTAAGCAATACAGTTGTTGAGAGCAACATCGTTTCTTTGCTCCTAATTTTGCGATCCTTGTCCTTTCATCTGCTTTTTGTCGTCATTTTGCAACATCATGTCAAGCGACCCAATATGATGCTGCAAAATTACATGCAAAATAAATTAAGAAAACTATTTTGAAATATTAGCTTGGAAGTTCTTGCAATTCAACAAAACTCACATCATAAGAAGTTGGATAAAGGAATTGGATATCTAGAAAAAGAAGTAAACGGACAACTTGCCCTCGATTATGGTCAAAAGATGAACCTCTTGGAAAGCTCAGCTGAGGCATAATTCATCTGTACAGGGCAAAAAGGCCACAGAAGGGTCTAAGCAGTTTAAATTAGTTAAATTGTCACCTGGACTCTTTAAAATATTCTGCCTCCAGTTCATTGTGTAGCCGTCACTCATCTTGGTCCTAGGGCGAATACACAATAACGGGGAATTCTCAGAGATAAACTTCAGAGGGGAAAGTGATGGCAGCTCCAGCACTATCTCGCTCTCTTACTCTTCTCTCATCCCAATACGGACTTCATATCTCATTTTCTGCTTCCTCTTCTCTGTTGATCCGAGTTGATGGGCAGTTGGCTGTTGCCAAGACTATGAGTTCAAGCCAGAGGAATTTCAGCCTGAAAGGCACCGAGTGAAAGTGACTGTCATCGGATGAGAAAGGGAAGGATGAAAAAACAGCAGTTGACAACCGCATGCTGAATCCAAGCCCCACACAGCCAGAGCCACCCATGGCAAGAATGTCACACATAAGGAAAACAAACAAAGCCTAGTTTTGATCTTGACACACATCAGATCGACTTTGTAAGATCAAGAAACTTTTGTTCACACTATATATGCTTCCGCTAGGCAATATTATAAGGAATCATTCTGTACATTTCCACTGTTATGCGGATGATACTCAACTATATTTATCCATCAAGCCTGATGAAACCAATCACCTAAATACAATTCCAGACTGCCTCAAGGACTTAAAAACGTGGATGACCTTACATTTTTTACAAGTTATTGTACTCGGCCCAAAGAATCTACGAAACAAACTATATAAAGATATACTAGTTATGGATGGCATTAATTTGGCCTCCAGTGAGACTGTAAGGAATCTTGATGTTATATTTGATCAGGATTTATCCTTTAACGCCCACATAAAATCAATCTCAAGGACCGCCCACTTCCATCTATGCAACATTGCCAAAATTAGGCATATCTTGCCTCAAAACGATGCAGAGAAACTAGTCTAAACTTCTAGGCTGGATTATTGTAACTCTTTATTATCAGGGTGTACCAAGAAGTCAGTCAAGTCGCTTCAGCTGATTCAAAATGCTGCAGCTCGTGTACTAACCAGAGTTAGGAAAAGGGACCACATTACTCCTGTTCTGGCTGCCTTACACTGGCTCCCTATAGAACACAGGATATAATTTAAAATTCTTCTTCTCGCCTACAAAGCCCTTAATGGGCAGGCGCCATCTTA